CACACACACACACACACACACACACACACACACACACACACACACACTCGTCCATGCCTGTCACCGCGGTTACACAATCACCTTTCACTTCCGATGAGGGCCGTGAGGGACACCCTCTCAGCTTTCTCTTTCTCTCCGTGATGAGAAACGCCAAAGCTGGATGGAGCCTGTCGTGTTTACCCGTCGACATTTATATGAAAGCTCAGAGGGGCTTCAGAGAGCAAACAGACCTCTAAAGCAGGAGGAGAAGCCAATGCTGTCCTCTCCTTTCTCTCAGAAGTGGACTGAATGGGCCTGGGCTGTTTGAGGAAGGACAAAAAGAGAGGCTGAGTGCCAGGTTTAATGGCAAACTGCTAACCTGCTGAGTGGGTTCCAGATGAAACCATCATCTCAGGGTTTGCTAAGTTTTACATATTGGCGAAGGTTAAATAATGGTATTGTCTTCTCAAAATGAAGGAATGAGAAGCATCCTCTTCTCAAACTTTGCCTGAATAGTCCCAAAGAATGTGCAACAACTCAAAACTGGATAAACCTGGCAAACAAAAATATCTGGTGTCTTAATATTTGAAAATTGATTTCCCTGAAGCCCTGAACACCCATTTTATTATATGTGCCCCCAATGGCTAAGGATAACCCCCCCACACACACATACACACACAAAGCAAGTGAAGAAAAGCTCCCACTGGATGTGTGTGGCTCTGTCAACATATTCCAGCATTTTGACCATTTTTAACATTCTTATGTGTTCTGTGTTTAGATGTAGGAATTTGTGTTTACAGCATTCTGTGAGATATAAACATTTTTTTTTTTACAGCTTAAAAATGCTGCTGGAAGCAAACGAAGACTAACGACTTTTTCATTGCTGTTTAATGACCAGAGCAGTTGTTAAATTGTATTCAGGTCTGATTCTTGTAAAAACATTTTTTTTTCCAGGACACACAGAGTTGTTTTAGAGCGACTATCTCCGTTCAGAAGACTAACGCGGAGCCGTAAACAGTGTGAAATGAGCTAAACGAGGCCAGACGTCTCGAAAAGGCCTGAAGTCCCGGAACAGCAGGAGTCAGCAGAAGCGCCCCGTTTCTTTCTGCATCACAACAGCCTCCAGAGCTAACAGACATCCAGGAGAAGCGTTTCTCCAGAGTAAGGCCCAGCAGAGCTGGATCACAGTTAAGTCTTTCCAGCTGCATAAAAATCTGATTCAAAACTGTTTTGGAACGTTTGAAATCTGCTTTTTTACTAGGAAATTTTAAAGAGTCCTGCATACCTATTATCATTTTATTCATCATAGGTAAAAATCATATCCTATAATGCTGTTTTTTTTATTAAAAACTAATTGTTTTGACTCCCACTGCCCATAGGGACTGATGTGTTTAGGTAACTTGAATAAAGTCCTGATATATTACAGGCACTTGAATCTAATCCTGAAAACAGTCTGAATTTATTCAATTTAATTTAATAAGGACCCATTTCTGTGTTCAGGTTTAGGTCACATTGTGCACTCCACACATTTCTGTTTGCTTTTTGATAAGATAACATTGTTCGCGCTGAATTAATCTGAACTGAGTCATATCTCAAGTATCTCAGATCATGTTGAATAACAACATTCTAATGTTGAGTTGACAACAGTTTTCTTAAATACATTTTATTTTCTATTTGGGGTTATACATATACATATTTATTGTGCATAGTATAAGGTCTTAGCTGTTACACTGGTAGCCAAGTAATTGACATTTCGTTGTCAAATTCACCTCGTGTTTTTGTGCAATGACAATAAAGGAAGTCTAAGTCTATAGTATCCTGTTATTATCATTATTTTTGAATAATGGCAAGTTTGCCAGCATGAAGAATAACATCAAGCTCTTTCATTTAGAGAAAATCTGGGTGGGATGTGCAAACTTATGGCAACCAACCAGACCCTCCGGAGGCGCACGCACCTGGGCAGCAGCCAGAGCGCGAGAGGCGTGCCCGCGCGCCTATAAGTGCGCGCTCCTCCTCCGGGCCCGGGCCACTTGTCTCCGGTCCTCATCCCCCCGGTTGCTCCGTCCAGCCATGCACCTCAGCGCGCACGAGTCGTGCCACTCTCTGCTCCTGCTCTGCATCCTCCTGAGGAGTTGCCAGGCCCTGAAAAACGACGCCACGGAGATGCTGACGTTCCCGCGCGGGGGCGCGCCGCCGCCGCCGCCGGGGCCGGACGCGCACAGCAACGCGTCCCCGAACCGCGCGCGCAACGGAGGCAGAGGAGCGGTCAGCGGGGCCGGAGGGGCGCCGGACAGAGGCGGTGAGTGGCCGGAGGCTGGCGCAAGAACCACCGGACATTTAAGTCACTTTGGAGACGGACTCTGCTCCAGATGGGTCTCTTATCCTCTGAGATATTTGGTTATTTTAACCCACCATCTTTTAGTGATTTTGTTATTAATCACCTTAATCCAAAAACGTTGTTTTTTCTCTATAGAGATGAATGATAATGACTCACTTCCAAAAACTCCAAAACCTAGTTTGAGTTATAATTCAATCATCTGATAGAAGTTTATGACTCAAAATAAGGATCTTTTCATTCAGAGTGTTCCATCATCATTATGAGGGTGATGTCCTGTAAGGCTGGAGGTTTCAGTTAGTGAGGCTAGCCTTCCAGGGAAGGGTATTGGAAGAATTTAGTGGGTGAACACGAGGAAATATTGTTTGTAAAAGTGTTCATTTCGGTTTGCAACTTGTGCAGCTACAGATTTATCATTTATTCCACATTCATTCTGGAAGAATTTGAAAGATGAAGGAACAAAGAAAGACAAAATCTGTCCGTTCACCTTTTCACCCAAGTCAAACGACTTTGGTGATGGCTGGAGAAAAAGACTTGAGTTGTGACTCTGGCTCCTGGCTTACCCGGTATCAGACTGATGGATTGGGGGGGAGGGAGGTGGGGGGTTGTAGTGAGAGACAGAAATATAGAACCTCTCCCATCTTCATTCATCCAACGCTGTCACTGAGTTGTATGAGGCGATGTGAATGGAGGGGGGCTTGGGTTACAGTCACACAGACGAGAGCAGGGGGGTTGTAGCCAATAGGACAATAAGATGCCTGGGCAGACATGATCCCCCTGCCAATCCTTTCCCTCTGACTTTAAAAAAAAATGAACGTTTCTTGGTTGCAAATTCGTACTTTTTGAAGAAGAAAGGTCAGTGTTTTTATGCTTTTCTGTGCTCCGGTGAGCAGTCAGAGGCTGCAGAATATTATTCATGGATAAGTTAACAAGAAGATAAGGAAAAGCTGAGAGACTTGATATCGGTTTAACTTTATTTATCCCTTGGCATTTCTCCTTCTGGGAAATTCTGGTTCCAGTAGCTTACGAAGAGTACAAGAGACAATATTGAGACAATATAGACAAGATAAATAGAGTGTATATGGTACAGATGTATATACAGATGTTTCCTGTAGATATAAAGTATCTTAGGGCTGTTTTTTCTCACACCCTTTGCCGCTCGGCTGTCTCTTTCTTTGCTGATCTTTGGCTACCGGTCTGCCCGCAGAGCGGAGCCAAATCGGCTGCAGGGAGCTGAGGTCCACCAAGTACATCTCGGACGGCCACTGCACCAGCATCAACCCCATCAAGGAGCTGGTGTGCGCGGGCGAGTGCCTGCCGGCCCAGATGCTGGACAACTGGATCGGCGGCGGGGCCCACGGCCGGAAGTTCTGGGCCCGCCGGAGCGGCGGCGGCGGGCAGGACTGGCGCTGCGTCAACGACAAGACGCGCACGCAGCGCATCCGGCTGCAGTGCCAGGACGGCAGCGCCCGCACCTACAAGATCACCGCCGTCACCTCCTGCAAGTGCAAGCGCTACTCCCGGCAGCACAACGAGTCGGGACACAAGCCAGCCGAGCCCGTCCTGCTGCTGCACAAGCACCAGGCCAAGGCCAAGAGGAGGCCGGGCAAGGCCCAGCTGGGCCAGAACCAGCACGAGCCGGCGGCCTGAGATATACCCAGACAGACCGGCTCTAAACCCCTCAGGAGTTTGTTTTATTATCCCAAACCTCCAGAGGCCGGCCAGTGTGGATTATCTCTCTCTGATTGGGACTTGATTTATGCAAAGTGACGATGGAGAAATCACTGTGATGGAGACGCCAAATGGAACATTAACTCATTGGCTGCCAAAGACGCCTATAGACGTCTTTTATGTTTTTCAACGAGAGTGGCTTGGGGGACGATCTGCTAAAGCTTGTCCGTAAATATCAGGCTTCTAGACAGAGTATGTAGTAATAAAATTGACCCTCTAGGTGGCAGTGCCACTTTTGATGGGAGATGAGCATAAACTGTAGGCATATAAAAAAAACGTAATGGTTCGCTATGAGAGAACATGTCGCCGGTGAGACACAAGTCGAGGAAGAACGGAATAAGGTAGAAACCAATTTTTTTTCCTGATGAAAGAAGAGAGTCTACTCTTTCTTTTGGTGTGTTCGGTGTTTACATAGTCATAGCACAAACTATTCTGTGGCTCTTGAAAAATCAGTCAAAATGCTAAAAAAACTCTAGCAGTCAATGAGTTAATTGCTCCTTTTTGGGGTTTTAAATCCATCTGGTTGAACGTAATGTGAACAAGACTGGGGTGTCCAGTCTGAAGTGCTCTCTGAGGGCCAGCTCACTTTGACCCGGCTGTGCATGTGTTCCATTTGTGTTCTGGTACCGATGGAGATCAGCAGCCCACTTGGCACTGAACACCGAATATCTTTAAAAAAAGCTCCAGTGTAAATACTTGTACATAGATTCAAAGTTTACTTGTGTTTTGGATGATGGCCTTGTGTATAAGATTTTACTATGTAAGATTTATGATGCGTGATGTAATATATTGCCTCTGGCAACATACCTGATACATTTTGCTCAGATGGCCTCAGTTTTTGGGTGAAGTCCTGAAAAGCTTTGTCATTAATCATTCTTGTAATAACTTTGTACGGAAAAAAAATAAAGCTTTCTCTTTTCTAATCATGTTTTGTCGTTCCCAGTTAATACTGAAGTTTAAGAGACTTGGAGGTCTGACCTTAAAACATAGATTTCCATTCTCATTGGATGTACAGATCAGGTGATTTTAATACAATTAAAACAATGTCAGAACAACTGACTTGTTAGTTCATCTCTTTTTTTACCTCCCCCTAAAAAATACAAAAGCTTCTTTTGGCTACTTCAAAAAATCAGCATCAAGTTGCTGTTAATTACTTCCAAGTATTCTGAAAATACCAAACACTGAAATTAAATCAAACATTTATGCAATTTTAGGCTGAATCATTTATTCTAAAGTGAATCAAAGCAAATATTGTTGGAATATCTTCTTATCATTTCATGTTTTATTTCACATACCTACACGTTTCTTTAAGATAAAATTTCACATCTTTTTCTCTGGCTCAGAGAATAACTTACTTTTTTTCCACAGTAAGGAGGCTACAGCATTATTGCATTTGCACAGAAACACAAATAGATAATTATAAGTAATCTTTAAATTCACCAAATGTCTTTATAAAATTGCTGCTGATGATAGCAAAGAGGTTTAGAGATGTAACTTTCCTGGTTCTTTCAAGTAAATCTCAGATTTTATCACTAACGTAAATAAAACTGATAGATTACTTGAAACGATTCTACAAATTGATATGTATCTAAATACCTTTTCCGTTGGATCCCCTCATATAATAAACGACACGCTGCTTTCTTTGAGAAACAATAATGTGATGGTACTGTATACTTAAGGTACCAGTCTGACTATTTCTCCACTGTTAACCTGTCGTTTAGCTCATAATGTGTTCAAATCCGGACTCAGAGGGTTTTATTTTGATATCTGCAAACGGAAGTGGTGCAGCAGCTGTGTGAGCTTCACGGCTGGGCTTCTCGTGACTTCTACATCCACAACACCTGAGTGCAGGATGAGCCCTTACAGGAAAGTATTTCTTTGACATCCCCTGCTCGTCCCCAGCCGTGAGCCGATGGAGGTCAGGGGTCCAAACCTGCAAAATGACGGCGAGTCGGGGAGGCCCACTCATCCCCGGGGTTTCCCGTCCGGCGAAGCCGGGAAAAGCAACCACAACACGGGGGGACGCTACGTGGACTTCCGGGTGTCTGTGGTGCTTCCTGCGGGCGGCACAGGGGAGAGAACCGGGCTGCTGACTCCTAAGCAGTTCTGCTCGTTTCTGGGAAGGCCCCTCATAAGCTACACCATCCAGGCTTTCGAGAGGTAGGAGAAGAGAAGCCGGAGCTCAGCTGAGTTTGAGGGGAAATGTGTGGGTATTTGGAGGACAGGCAGAGGGATGAAACTCTCTCTCTCTTCCAGGGCCGTGTTAACTGAATTCGGGAGCCTCGGGTCAGAAACGACTCGGTTGGCCCCCTCTGACACAAATGCATTTTTCTGCAGTTGTTTTTCTTCAGTTGATCACAAACATATCAGAGCTCACTTAGAAATAAATAAATAGATAAACCAATTGAGCAATAGCACTAAATATTCTCAGTAATCAGCTTTTGAAGATGCAAATGTGTCAGTTTTCCAAGATGTTAACTCAGACTTCTTACAGATTTCTGACGGTTTTGGGGCTAAAACAAAGCAATGTGACTAAGTGAGCATTTGCCTCAGAGACAGTGATGCAAACATCCCACTTCAGCCAAAGGAATCAGTAATGCAGATTTTTTTTTACAGGGAATTAAGCCATTTCCAGTTTGGCTTCAAGAGAGAACGTGAGGTTAACGTCAGTCCACGTGAAGTTTTAAATTGTGCGTTTGTTTTCAGTTAGCAATGTCGCCTATCAGCAAGTCGGTTGTCGGTTGGAATCCAGGCTGGGCCCCCGGTTGACCGTAGATGTAAATGCGAGTGTGCATTTGTTGTCTATATGGATGCATCTGCAGCAACTCAAGGGGTTCATGTTGTACTACGGCTGTTTTTTTCCCCAGCACAAACCTCAAAGATCATGTTTTTGTGCACGGTTAGAAAAGCCTCCGAGGCCTCAATGAGACTACATTAAAGACTTGCCAAAATACGAGGGAAGAATCGTTGGAATCATGTGCTGCGTGAAAACCGAAGCAGTTATTTACAGAGCGGCAAGGCTGAAAAACAAAATTGAGTTGTTTTTGTGGAGGGGCGATGAAGAAGAGTTGTTGCTCAACATGACATGCCAGCGTCACGGCTCTGGTCCATTTTCTGTCTCGTCACCCGTTTGCCTCTTATTCCACCCAATGTTTCCATTTTAAGAAGCATTTAGGTCAAACTAAACCAAAACTATCCGGGCCATGCCTGATTGCACAGTTTCTGGTCTGGTCTGTCTTCATGAGTGGGACAACAACAACCATCCTGGTGTGTTTAAAAATTTTATTTAAAGAGTGACTGCTCAAAAAAAAAGACTTGCATAATGCTTATAGGCAAAATGCACCAAGAAAACAAGATTTTTTCTAATCACATCTAATAAGCAGAGTCTATGGGATTAAACATAATCCTAAAAATGACGATGTAATGAGAAAAAGCACGGAACGTCCTCTAATTGGCTTTATTTTGAAGCTTTCCGCCACATTTCAAGGTCTCTGTTAGTGCAGAGAAAGAATTGCTTCTTCATGGGTGTCGTCCAGAGAAATGTTCAGTTTGTTTTTGTTTAGCTGGAGCCGTACGGAGACACGTGCACGTGCACTGTACCGGATCAGAGGCGCGGCCCAGTTTAGAAACGATTCGCTTGAGCTGGATCTGGATGGGCCTCTGAGGAGGTCGGCCGCTCTTGGTAATTACACCCGGGCCATGCGCCTCGCAGGATTCAAACCGGGATTCTTCCTGTCCCACGCCGTACAGGCTGAAAACAGAATCTAATGTGGACGGCAGGTGTTAAGTGAAGAGGGTTCGGTTTTCCGGGTAGAGCGGCTCTTTGCTGTGTTTTTCCCGGGTGTTCCTCTCTAACTCGCTTTGGTCCCATCACGTCGTTGTTTTTCCTGAGTCGCTGGGATGTTTTTTCTTTTTTGGCAGACGCACAGACATATTTTCCGCACATTTTGAAGCTTCGGGAACTCGGGGATGAGGATGTTTATTGTTATTTGGATCTCTTGGATCTTCGTTACAAGCCCTCGCATCAACAACTGCTGTCTGTGCTCAGACGCGGCCCGTCGGCCCGTCGGGAAACGATCAGATCCGCGGCCTGTGTGGCCCAGCGGTCGCAGGCAAGTCCCCCCCCCCCCCTTCGGTGAAAAAAAATAGGTCGCCGATGTTTTGACCCACCCCCCTCCCAGCGATCTCAACCTGCTTTGGGCTTGACGGGTGATGGTTCTGAGGTCCCGGGCTGCGCAGTGGCGTGAGGCCCCGGTTCAGATCCCGACTGGGGGTCCTTGTGGGTGGAGTTTGCACACATTCTCTATTTGGATTAAAACCCCCCCAACTTTTGGGCCAATGACAGCTTGGAAATCATGCGTTGGCTGCTTCTGGTGTTGCCGATATTGGATCATTTAAGTAGATTTTACGCAACGTGACGACTTTGCTTTGTCTTTTCCTTCAGGTTTATTCAGTTTGAAAAATCTCTCCATTATATAGATGCCCAATCTTGTAATGTAGAAACTTATTTGTGGAGTCTCTAGCCGACCACGTTTGAAGGGATTTTCCTCCACACATCTTCACTAGCTGCAATGTTTAGATTACTTAGATTTCTTACCAGTCCCTTCAAGTATTTAGTTAGGACATCTGATGAGCAGCTCTGTTTTTTTTCAGGGTTTCATGGATCCGAAGCGTCGTGGTCGTCGTTGCAAAAGAAAACATGGACCTGATGATGGACATCATACAGAGGTTCCAGCACCAGAGGGTCCGGGTGGTGCCCGGCGGCTCGACTCGCCACAGGTCCATATGCAACGGCGTCATGGCCCTGGGCGAGGGGGAGACGCCGGCGGCCGACCGGCCCGAGGTGGTCATCATACACGACGCCGTGCGGCCCTTTGTGGACGAGGACTTCCTGCACAAGATAGCGACTGCTGCCAAGGAGCAAGGGGTGGGTACCACAAAGGCCACACGGAACCGTCCCGGTTTGAGTAAGATTTCAAAAGAACTTAGAGGTAGGATCAATCAGTGCTTTATGCTAGTTTTCTGTTATTTTTACAACAGCTTGAACATTTCAGTGTTATTACAGTTGTTATAGAACAATCTCCAATCAGAGGCAGACGAATACAAACTGTTTTATCTTTAGATTATGAGCCAGAGACCGGCTGTAACCCTAACCCTTACCCTAACCCTAACCCTAACACTCAGTGAAACATCTACTGAACTGCTCTTTAACTTTGTTGCCTATTCGCGGTTTCAAGATCTCCCTTTTTGTTCCGATGTGCCAGTTGCCTTCGCAGCCTCGTCCTCGTTTGACTTAGTGGCAGAGCTGGAGCTGGAAGTACTTCCTGATGCTTTTTGTGTCACCGAGCAGTCACATCTAATTGACTTGACTGCAAGAGCTGCAAGACAAAGCACAGCTCAGAACGACTTTAATAATTAATTAGTGATTATACAAGTCTTGAGTAGTTATTTGATAAATCTTTAAACTTTTTTCATGCTCTCTGTAAAAAAACATTGGAAAATGTTCTGATTGGTTTTATCTGTAATTGTTATTCACAAAGTTTATTTTTTACTTTTTTTGCATTCTTGCTAAGGAAAGTGATCACAGTTGAAGCTACAGAGAGAAAAAAGCACATTTATCAGAATCTTATTACCTTTGCGACTAAAAGAAAAATAATTTAGTGTAAAAAAAAAAAAAGTTGTGATGTGTTAACGCGTCCAAAAGAAAGAGAAAGAGAACATTAGTAATGTCCTCAGTGCATGTGTTCATTTAACGGTTGTTCTGTGTTAAAAGTTCATAAAATGCCACGACGTGGAAAAATTTCTTCTCATAAGGCAGGAAACGTCTATTTTCAGGGGGAAAACCAGTGCAGAGACGGATAATAATCCCCATACGAATGGAGTAATAACCTGAAAAGCCACTCGCTCCTAACACTTGGAAAGCGAAGCGTAGCTAAATTGAATCTTGAATGGAGCTCATACTTCATCTTCTCTTGAGCCTTGAGCTGAAAACCAGAGAAGGTCAATTACAGAACTGAGCATAAACAAATCCAACACGCTTAACTGCAGCTGGAGTCAAACATTTCATCTGGTGGAGGGGGGGGGGGGACGGGTCACCCGCACCGTAGGTTATTTTGGTGATGTGAGCCACTCGCAAACAAACCGGCTGCTGAAATACAGGAAAGCCAGGTTTTCCGGGCGGGTTCAGCCCAAAGAAAAACAAACATGTTTCGTTATTTGCCCCCTTGGAGGAAGATTGATCCTCCTCTCATGCGTTGTTTATCAGATTGGCACCCCCTTCGCTCCTCTGCGAATCAGCGTGAGGTTTTATTTTTTTCTTTTGAAAATAGTAACAGAGGGCAGTAAAATTGCAGGGATTAATCTATATGGTCTCTCTGCCCAGTATCAGACCAGAGTTCTTTGCAGGGCCCGTCGGATCCCTTTACAATACCTGCTGACTATTGGCTTGTTTTGGTCCTGAACAAACATTTGTCGCTGTTAGAAAATATGAGGGAAAAACTGCCCTGTTGACTTTGGTAAAACCACAAAAAAAAGTAAAAACAAGAATTGGGACAAAGAAAGCATCACCTTTCTCCTTCCTGTTAAAATCACCCACATCGAACCGTTTCACTTCCTCCTCTCAGAGACTTGGAGGAGCTTCCATTTTGTTGATGATGAAATAAAAAAAATGTTATTTTTTATTCTTTTTTTTATTTTTTATGATGGTACAGGCAGCCGGAGCGATCCGACCCCTCGTTTCCACGGTGATAGCCACCACCTCCGAGGGCTACCTGGACCATTCTCTGGAGCGGGTCAAGTACAGAGCCAGCGAGATGCCGCAGGGCTTCACCTATGACGTCATCCGACAAGCCTATCAGAGGGTAGGGCTGCCGGCTTTTGCTAAAAGTCCAGAACACAGGCATCCAAAATGGCTCTTTCACAGTTCATTTTGCAATAGAACAACGCGTGAAAGTGCAGTGAAGAGCCCCTGCTGGCCGTCGCTGTTTACTCCTGGTGTCAAACGGCTGCTGTAAACGTCTCCTAAATCTGGCAGAACGCTGCAAAAATGACTGGACTCAGGTGACGAAAAGCTCTCTGCTTCTCATCCATCAGAGCCGGCCTTTACTGCCCAATCATTGTTCCGCCGATGCGCAAGAACCTGCAGGGTTTCAGTCGGAACGGCTATGGCCAGGGAGCAGTCCTCCCAGCGAGAGCTAACAAAAGCTAATTTGGAGCCACACTCGACATTGAGGTGGGCTCAGATCCGGGGAGGCTTAGCGCACCCACCTGCAGGATAGAAGGAAAGTGATTTTCCTTTGAAACTTGAGACCGAAAAGTTGACCCTGTTTATTTTTCAGGCCCTTCGAATTAGCCTGTTCGGCCTTGATTCGGTTCTCCCGAAAGCCGCGGTTCTTTTTGCCCCTGGCGCGTGCGGCTCCATGGCCCAGTGGGCCCGTCGGGCCGGGGAAGGCCTCTCCCTCTCCTTCCCTCCACGATTTTTCCGAGCCGTCACTGGCGGGGAAAGTGTAAGGTATCCGTCACGGCCAGGACTCTAGGACAACCTCGTGAAAAATCTTTGAGAGCCTCACATTTGTAGCTTGACATGTATTGAGAGTGGAAGAACTAAGGGCTGAAAAGACAAAAGAGCAGACACTTTATCCACTCCCTGGCGAGGGCTTTTGTATCAGGAGAAATTGCTAAAGGTTATATTACCTCAACACCAAGAGCATGCTTCTACTTCAGTTTCTCCCTGTGGTCCCACAGTGTCTTTTATAATAGACTCCTCTCTTTTTATAGCCTCTCAAAATATGCCTTTGCCATAACCACAGATAGCCGTTATTTGTCTTTGGAGGTCAGAGTGGGGTTCATCGCCAAAATCCGAACTTTCAAAGCTATGACTCAACATGTCTAAGAAAACCATTTGTGCTGTTAACTGCACACACCCCTGCGTTTGGAGGAGAGGAGTTCAGGCAGACCCATAACTCATAGAACAGTCACCGGAGCATTATGGCTCATCATTACATTTCTGAGAAGCAAGCAGAAAAAAAAACCCTTTTTGGTCGATCATCGTAGGATGTTTGGAGAGGATGCGACTGTAGCGGTTTGACACCGTCCAACCTTTTTTAATATTCCCTACCTGGTGGCGTTCTCGCTTGGATTTTCAATGGCGATGAAGCTGAGCACGTTCGATGGATCCCCAAAAGACCCGGGCCTTCTTTGTGTAAACGCTCTGCAAAAATCGTATTCACTCTTTACTGTATCGGCCCTTCGAAATTTCTTTTTTTTTCATTTCTGAAGAGAAAAGTATTTCCCATGCTCTCTGAATCAGTGGAACTCTTAAAACGGTTCACTTTGGACTGTAATTCCGTTTTTGTGTGATGAAAATAGATGGCTGTCTGCAGTCGCCCACAGCTGCTCGGCTCTCTTGTGTCCCCTCCGCAGTGCACCGAGTCCGACTTTGAGTTTGGCACCGAGTGTCTCCATCTGGCTCTGCAGTACTGTGGCACCAATGCCAAACTCATCGAGGGCCCGCCAACGCTGTGGAAGGTGAGCTCGCCAGGGGCCTGATTTAACTCTGGAATTGTTCGTTCGGTGTCATTTTGACTCGAACAGCTGCAGCACCGCTGATTTCTCAAACGGACAGGCAAAAAATCCCCCGAGATGCCGGGAAATGTGAGTAACCTATAGAAGGTAGACAGTCATTTAAAGGCACAGGATCGCTTCCATTTGGCAAAAGCACCTGTCTCTTTAGTCCAGTCTGACGTTATATTTAATTCCCACGTCGTCCCGGGGTCATTCAGAGCCCATATTAAAGTATTTTTTCCATCATCTTTTATATTCATCACATACATTGGCCATAAATTCCGAAACGAAGGGAAACGTTTGCGGTAAAGCATCGAACTAAAGACGTGAAGAAATTTCCAAACCAGGTGATGCCTGGTGCCTTTAGAGAACTAAGGGTGTTTGGAATAACTCCTCATTATTTGGGACTTGATTGGTGTAAAAATATTTTGTTTTATTAGGACTGCATGTCGTATGAGGCTTAAAAATATCCCATTAAATGATAAATTCCACTAAACACTGGATTAAAACATGTGTAAAGTAAAATGGGACCTCAGGTCCTTTTACTGAAGAAGTAATGGATCAAAACTGATCTGAGGTCTGTTCACAACCATCAATAATCGATACCTATTAGTAAAAATGTGGAGGCTCAAACCTTTCTGCCGCATAAATCTGTTTTCAAGCAAAACTGAGAGAGTATTCCAATTTCAAATGCCATTTTTTTTTAAAGAAAAAGTTGACTACGAAGTTACAAGATCACAACCAAAAGACTGTATCAATTAGAAAAGGGATAAAAGTGCAGTAGCTTCATATGAAGTTCACATATTTGATTCATGGGTTTGTGGTGTTCATTGGACGGTGCCGTCTTTTCCCCAGAAGCAGAGACCTTTTTTGGCATGGTGGGAAATGATTTAGACCCCGGTTCCTCCAGACAAACTGTTACTTAGTACATAAAATGGCTCCGGGTTGTCTGGAAATGTTGCCACCACATTTAGACAGAAGAACACGAGCGAGCACAACGCACCACCCAGACAAATTCCAAATGTGTGTGTCGAATTATTGGGACGGGGTAGCTCGGGTGCCGGTGATGTGGAAGATCCTTTAACTGTCACCATCATCATCATCATCAGCTCCAAAGTCAACTTTGGGCAGCTCAAAGGCGAAAAACAATTAAGACAGCAGGTGACTGTTCTCCAAATCTATTAATTTCAATTAAATCAAATTTATATTATATTATATTCTGCAGGTAGATTATAATTATATAGCGCCACATCACAACAACAGTTATCTCACAGCGCTTTCCAAACAGAGCAGACCCTACTCTGAAGTTAATTACAGAAGCCCAACAATGCCCACCAAGAGCAAGCACTAGGCGACACAGGCAAGGAAAAACTTCCTTTTAACAGGCAGAAACCTGGAGCGAGACCATGGCTCAGGGTGGGCGGCCATCTGCCTCGGGTGGTCGGGGGTGAGGGAAAGAGAGAAGGACAGAAGGAGCAGAGAGAGGCAGCCTACGCAGTAACACATAGATGGTAATGATATCGATACTAATGATATTGATAGCAGTGATAATGACAGTGAATCTGAATCTGAACTCGTGAACCGGAGTCTTTCTTTTCCTGTCTTTTCTGCTTTGAATGAAACGCTCTCTGACCCCCAGGTAACCTACAAACGGGATCTGGCGGCTGCCGAGTCCATCATCAAAGGTGAGTTACCATCCTCACACACAGATTTGTTTCCTCTCTTTACTCTTTAGAGCGTGTGCGATTGCCGGCTTACACTCGCTCACAAAGGATCAGCGCCAGTGTGCTTTTGTGGGTTTTTTTTTTTTTTTCTCTGAACACTGGACGGGAATGGGGGGACCCGGAGGGGGATTGTCCTGCCCCCCCTCTCAGACGGAGGCGTTCTTTGGGGCATTGTTAGGTCCGATAGGAACGGGGGGGGAGCAGCCGGTGAATGCTGCGGAGAGCAAGTCAGGACACGGGGGAGGCCATTACAATCAGAGCAGTGGAAATAAACACTAGCCCCATATTTCAGCCCGCCAGCACCTGGACCAACAAGTACCTGTTTGATGATGACATAAGGTGCACAGCAGTAATTCCCCGAGCCTCTGAAGTGAATGAATTCTTTTGTGTGATTTATTTTCTTTTTTTCCGAAAAAGATGTGGAAGGAAGTTCTCACATCTGTCAGTTTGACTAACTGCTACGTTGTTGGGTCTGAGTGTATTTGCACTGCTCTCCCCGTGTGTGTGTGTGTTTGTGTGTGCGCGACTGGATTTCTTAGAGGTTGTCTCAAGCGAGAAGGCCGCATTGGATGTCTGAATCAGTCTTGATCAGTAACTGAGATGCTTCTGTCTGCTGGTTTTTGAGCATAATGGCTCAGTTAGCCCGATAATCTGCAGCTCAGATTGATTATCGGACGTCCTGGACGTTGATTAAAGGACGTTTAGAGCCACTTGTCGTCGTTAGCAGGAGTTTTACATGCATATTTGGGCTCTGAAGGTTTCCTCTTTTGATCCTCTCATTTCCGATCCATTCTGTTTTACCTGACATCAGTCATTCACAGAGAGAAACATCTCACTAAGGAGGTGTCGTGGTCGTACATGACGGATAAGAGCCCTGTTTTCTCAGCCATTTAAAAAAAAATCTTAGATAGTAGATTCCTGCTGTTATAAAGAAGTGATTGAACTCCTTTTTTTTTCAGTTGTAGCTGCTTGCGGAGGTTGACTTAAGCTCACCGCCGAACATGTCCTGTCCTGTTTTATTATATTGCACTCTGTGGAATTCACCGATACATTAATTTACCGATCTAACTTGCTTGTTTTTGCCAGAAAGCTGACTGAGGCTCAGGAAGTCTCATTATTTAGTCAGTTTGCTTTATGAAAGGGAGCTTAAAGGGAAAGGGGGGTATTTTAGTAAATCGTCTACTAAATCTCACTGTTCAGATACCAGAAATGCTCTGAAATGCTCTGTTCTCTCTGATCTTCCAGAGACTCTATCTCGGACGGCCTGCCTGATCACGGGAGGATCGGCACCTGCCGTCGCACTGGCCGGCGCCCTCCGAAAGGCGGCGGGAGCTCTGGAGATGGTGCGTGCGTTATTGCCAAAGAACCTCGGGGTCTGACCACTCTTCCTCCGACTCATCCTCTCTTTTGTTTTGCATTTGGAAGCTCCACTTGGGTGGCCCCGGTGGTGAGGCTCGCTTTCTGTGGTCAGGCCTCTAATGCGGTCTGTATGGGATGTGCACGCTCGGCGGCTTCCCCCCCCCCCCCCCCTCCCCCCCCTCCGTACCAGAGCTCCTCACACAGGAGAGCAGATGGCAGTCAAACGGCTGATTGATAGACTGTTTACTGGTGAATCCTAACCTCCCGATCGGCACCTTCCTGCCTCAGCTCAGTCCCAGCCCACAGTCCCCCGCTGTCCACACCCCCCCCCCCCCCCCCCGTGCCTTTGGCCCATGTTACAGACGTCCTACATTTGATTAGTGAAATTCTTCGTCTCAGACAAAGGGAAACAGTGTTCACATGCAAAGCAGCCCAAAAAAAAAAGAAGAAAAAAATACAGTTTTAGACATGAAACCGGACGCCTCTTCACAACTACTGGGCCCGAAAGGTTGAATAAGTGCAAAATTATCTTCCACTCCTTAGTTTAAAATGCTTTGCTTTGATTTAATTGATTCTGTAAAATGCCTCCAGGGCTCTCTTTTTTTAAAAGATCTTCAGACAACTTTTTTTAGCGGCGGCGTGATAACTTTAGTATGTCAAACATCTGCCAGAGGAATCTGCGTCGGGATTCACAGCTGGCCCCACCAAAGCCGAGGACTTGAGTTGAGGAGCGTTCTTATTCCTCGTTTGTCCCAGAGCATCTGACGCCACATTAGAAGAGCAGGTTATTTAAAAAGAAGAAGCCGAGGGTAAAAACATATCTGCGGGAGGTGAAAAACTATTAGAAAATTGTCAACTGAGGAAATATTTTTATTTTGGAGTTCATATAAGATGAACTCCTTTTGTTTTTATTGTGGTTTTCATCAAGCTTGGCGGGTTTAGATGTTAAAGTTTTATGTTCCGTGCACGTCTTGACGGGAAAAAGATTTAGAACGTGTGAAAAGTCTCTCTCACTGCACAGTTTGCTCCCATTCTGAATATGAGGGTGAATTTCCTGCCTTTTTTTTTTTTTTTTTTGTCAATTCCGCTTATTTTGAATCCTTCGGGTCTTTCCTATTTGGCTAAAACTTTGCGGATCATTATCAGGGTAAAAGAGTCTGGGAGTCTGAGCACAAACAGCTCCAGAGAAGCTAACGCATCCAGGTTAGCACGGTGGTCCGACAGAGTACTGACACTGTCCTCCAGCAGATCGAGGCCCAAAAAACTGAACACGCGTTTTCAGTAACTTCACACGAACGCCTGCTTTATCGCTCCACAAACTGAGGTCGTTTTTTTTTTTGGTGCCCGGAGACGGGCCGGGGTCCGCGGCGGGGCCTTTCGGATCATCTGATTGGAGTCATTCCCGCCTGCGCTCAGGTGGCCAGAAAGGGGGCCCTAGTTTTTTCCGGTGTACCAGATACGGCTCCTTTTTTCTTTTTTTTTTTTCCCTCTCCGGGTTTGTGAAGGCGGAGGAATAATGGGGGGAGATGAAATGCAACTGGAAGAGGCAGAGGATGAAGAATTACCTTTGTAACGGTGCCACTACATGAATACAGGGATAAGCAGCGCGAGAGAGTGTGTGTGTGTGTGTGTGTGTGTGTGTGTGTGTGCAGGTGGAGGACTTGGCAGCGGGTGTGTGGGAGAGGAAGACACTCAGCGTGATTAGGGATCCTTTCAGCAGCATGTTATCGGACAGATGCATTTAATCCAGTTCATATCCATGCCTAAAGAAGGAAAAGGACAGCTTGATTTGATATTTATACCAAAAGGAATTTGTGTTCACTCCTGAACACAACACAACACATGACAGGAGGCCGGTGCTTTTAGTCTTTGGGAGCATAATATTGTTTTCAAAGGTAAAAAGTGCTTAGCTGACTCGGTTACTGACATCACACCACGGCTCTAGGGGGGGGGGGGGTACTTTGGGCTCTGGTCTCATCCCATGGACGCATACCTCTTTTCTCCAGGTTGTTCCAGTGGTTCAAGTCAAAACTACGACCAACAACTTAAGAAAAAAAAGTCAAATTGAACATGTCTGTGGTATGAAAATCGATGACAAACATGACTTTTCTTTGTAGAGAAATCCCCTTGCGCTCATCATTAAGACTCTGGTTTTGTTATGGATATGTCAATAAGAAATCCACAACAAAAAGAATGTTCAGATTTGTTTAAAATTCAGAGTAGACACAACTCTTTTATTTTTGGCTTTTAAGTCGGTGAAATCTTTTCTAGCATATTTAGATGTCTATATAAATTTAATACAGCACGTTATCTGGAAGTTCTGTTGTATCCTTAAAGTTTTAAACCTCTGTTAAAACTATTAAACATCAATTATGGGATTATCAATTATCAGTAACTTACTTAAAGAGTCAGTTCTACCTGAAACATAGTAACAGAAGCAGAACTTCCCCCCCCTTTTTGCACTGAGGCATCTTAGTGAAGAGCAGTTGAACTGGCTTTATTCCAACATTTTCCTGCTTTTTTCATCTAGACTGCATAAATTATTCATCAGGTTATGAACAGAAAATGGTTAGAAAAACTGAAAATAAGTTTTTTAAAGGGGAAGATGGGCTTCTCCTTTGCAGCTTGGTGGATGTGCTGGTCAGAAATGGGAGACGGTCATGTTTGAGAAAAAGATGGAATTGGATGTTTTTCCTCAGAGAACACATTGAGTTCAATTAGGATAAGTGACCACTGTTAGCCGCGTGCACTCACTAAATATTACCGTTATAATGATAAAGAGCGAAAGACTGACAGACCTGTGACGGATTATCCGTTTAATCCAGCACTGTGGATTAAATGGAGGTAAACACAGTTTAGGCACTCAGGAGGAAGAGATGTTTCTCAAGAGTCGATAGAAAAACCACAGCGACATCTGGGCTTTAATTTGTCCGAGAGCCAGGAGCCACAAATCCAAATGCTGGAAATCCACATTTTACCGGCAGGTTTCCCATTACAGCTGATGTCACCGGTGATTTGTCCCCCCCCCGCTTCCCTCCAGAGATGGTTTTCATAAAGATGTCAGTGCTCAAACTGGGGTTTTGCTGAAATTTGTGCTCCTTCTTAACACGTTTCAGACTCTAATGAGCTGAATTACAGTGTTTAGGTCTCGTCCTCCGTCCTCCGGGGGCTCGGATCGCCGAGCCTCTGCGGTTTTCCCGGCGCTCCAGGTCTGGACTCAAATAAACACATCTTCTCTGGGATTTCACTGCCAGCCTGGTTTAGATCACGTCAATTTTTTTTTTTTTTTTTAAAGCCTGCAAATCTACATGTCAGACTTAAATGATTTTCCTCCCAAAGCCAGGGGCAGTTTTATTTGGAGATCAATTAACCCCCCGCTCCCCCCCCGACATGTGTTTCTCATAAGCTTTTCACATTTTCAGTTACTTTCAGTTGTTTTAATGGGGTGGAACACATTGGATGTTTGTCTCGGTGTTTATTTCCTGCAGCATCCTGCCATCAGAGCTATCTGCCCGCCTTATGTCCCGACACCCAGGCCAAACCTCGGTGGAAAGATCGGAACCAAAGCCACTCGGTTCCTCTCTCAGTTATTGGCTCGGCCTTCTTGTTTGATTCAATTTTTGTTGTAATGACATTTAACTTGGGCTACGTGCGATTTCTGTTCCCATCTTTAGGATTTGACAGAGTTTTTCTGCCGTTCGGGAGTCAAAAAGGAGGCAAATTTGACTTTTGCGCTCCTTTTTAACTTGCTTTTAATACGTTTTTTGACAACAATTAACTTGACGTCATGCTTTTTCTTTTCTTTTACTTTTTTTCTCTTCGACCCCCTTTTCTCTGATCACGGAGTGATTCATGGCAGGAAAACAGGTGGCCGTACTTTCACATAGAAAATGATTGAAGAAGTGGCTGGAAACAGAAACCAGAAGGCCCCTGACCTCTGGGGCCGGAGTCGATCAGTCACCTGCCCCCGAAACGCGTTCGGCCCTTTCTGGAACAGCAGCACCTGCCTCACATGCCATCACTCAAGCAACATATATCAGTGTTAAAATAGTCCACATATCTCTGGGTTACAGGAGCTGGATGTGGTCCCGGATCTGGCGGGAGACAACGGCGGGTATTTATTAAAGGAGTGGAACTTCATCCAGGTTTCGGTAAGTCCGCGCTTAAGGGACGGCTTCTCTGAAGTGGAAACCCACTGATCATTTCTGGGTTGTCATCTCATTTTTGGGCCTCCAGGTCAGCCGTCGGCTGTCTGAGGTGGAGGCCCTGCTCGCCGCTCTGGAGGCAGCGAATCGGGCCGTTCTCCATCCGCCGGTGGTCATCTGGGTGAGTTCAAGCATGCTAGCAGGCGCTTTGAGATAAATTCATACATCCGCACTCCGACAGCCCCCAACGGGGGGGAATTTCGGCGTGAAATCCCGCGTGCGGCGTTGTTGTTCTGCTCGTAAATACCGCTCAGATCGGAATTCTCAGCCAGATGAGTGTTTCCACCTCCTGCTGTAAACAGGTGTGTTTTTATCGCCGACTTCAGAAAGGCGGATTTACAGACCCTGAAGATGTCCATTCACAGCTTCTCTTTTTTAAAAATCTATTGAGAAAAAAAAACTAAATGCAGACATGACACCGAACGTGTTTATTTAAAAGCCGAACATCTTCTGGCCTTTCTGAGTCTCACATTTGAACAGAATAATGGGTTTTTTTTTACTTTTTTCTTCCAGATTTAACTTTCTTGCACATGAGAGCTTAAATTCTTTGAGAACATCACTAATAAAAAAACTTTTTCTTCTCAATGTCCACCTTAAATTGGACTGTTTGCTCTTTTTTGTTATTTATGGTTTCTATGCAGTAATATGGCTTTAGGGTTTATTTTCAGCCTCTCTAAATGGAAGTCCCCTTTCCTCTGGCTGCTTTCTGACCGTTTGGTCAGGTCCACCTGTATGCTTCCATTTGAAAATATCCCCATTTAGTTTTTACTGACTGGGTGTGACCGGCGTCTTTTTGCCACAATCTAAGTCTCATTATGTTCATGAAGGAGTTTTATTACCGTTTCCATTTTTTCCTACCGACAGCTTTCTTGTTTTGGCCTCGTTTTTGGCCGTGAAACGGCTCGTTTAGCTCTGCAGAAACCCACCGTTAACCGCATGCTTATTAGCTTTCACACACACTTTCCTCAAAATGTGGTGTCTTTTTTCCATACTTTACCTGGAAAAAAAAGCAAAAAGTGAGCGCAATGTTTAATGATTTTTTGAGCTGTTTTACAAAGTCAGAGCGTTCAGTTATTAGGAAAAATTCAAGACATACATGCTATTAATCCTTTTATTTACCAAGCTACAAAAGCTCCTTTAAGTGTAGCAGTCCCATCAGTTGTGTTTTTGGAACAGCACACAGCTCTGACGTGCAAATACTGGACCAGACACATCTATTGAATTTATAAAGGAAATCTTAACGTTGAAACTTCTGTCAGTCTGACTTCACAGCTCAGTAATGAGGCCGTCGGCCCCTGGAAGACCTGCTCTTTTCATTTAAACAGATGCAATATTACACATCTAATTGTTAAGGGGGAGGACGGCTGTGTTGATTTGCTGGCGTTTCATGAAAGCTGTAATTCCTCTCACTGCAGGATTCATTGAACGGGACCCACTTTATCTGTCGTGTGAGAACAGGTCATTTTCTGTACAGTCGGAGTAAAACTGTGTGTTTCTTTTTTAGGCTGTTCTGTTCTCAGTTTATGCATCATAGTACAACAGAGCAAAAATTATATGTTTCTCTTTTGGCTGATTTTAAAATAAAAGTGAATACATGACATTTTTTTTAACTTTAACATATTCACAGGCTGAAATTAAGATCCATAAACTCTTCATTCTAAATGACCGTAATACTCATGTGATGAAATCTTTTTTTATCTTTGACTCTAAAAACACTGATGAAATCAACAGACTAAAACACGTACATATCATGCATGAAAAAAGCTTTCCATCTTTTCTATTTTTACATCTTGAGACTCTTTAAAACAAAACTTCACACAAATGTCTTAAATGTTAAAGAGAAATCACAGGTGAAAAATCTGTGAATGGCTTCAAAAAGCCTAAACGTTTCATATGTCAAGTTTTGACATGAGATATGCCTTAAAATAGCCTGTTTCTTTTGGGAGTTTATGGATGATTGGACTTTTTTTGGGGGGGTACAAACTCTAGCTGTGGACAGTGGCTTTATGTTTTCCGGATTTCCATCCTTCCTCTTTGTTTGTGTGGGGATTTGATATCACAGGAATGCCTTGAGGACATTTCTCTGGATTTAAAACAAACATTCGACTAGACCCGATTTGATTTTTTGTGGTCAAAGGTGAAGGCAAACGCTGCCCTTTGCTCTCCCGTTCTTGTGAAGGTGATATATCAGGAAATCCTTTGAGGAAATTTCATTACACGTGGCGTGAAGCCAACTCAGATCCAAGAATGAAGTGATTACACGAAGATAAAACAATACTGGGACTTCGTGGAGCAGAATTTTGGCCTTACTTTAGGACTTCACATGTGAAATATGATGAATTTACAAATGGATAACGGATAAAATGAAAATTTTTCACATTAAAAGGCAAATAAGCCATAATTCGTTCATTTTTTTGGCAGTAACGTCATGTTTAAACACATTTCCATGATGGCTTCTTTGTTTTCTTTCAGAAACATCTTATTTGGCCCTCATAAGCACAAGTAGTGCCTTTTATTTAAAAGATTTATAACAGTTTATTGCAGGTCTTCTCAGTCTTAACTGTACCTATGATGTAAGACGTGTTTTTAACTCCAGCTTCACCCTTTAATGGAGGCACACATCCACCAGTGAAGTCAGCTTTTTTTGTGTAGACTCGCCCCCCTTAATAACAGATAAAAGATCAAGTACTAATCATAAAACAGCAGTAAAACTCAGACGCATAGAGAGATTTAGAAATTGGTCCTGCTGTGAAAAAAAAGGCATTTATTTACATAAAATCGCTTGAAATAAGAATTAAAACTACCCCCAATGCCTTTGATTCAGAATCTGTTTGTTTAGCAGCTCCTCTCTAAAAGAGTGCCTCGACAGTTTATTAGGAAAACCGCTTTTTAAACAAGCTCATCCAGACCCATCTGCAGCTCGCACCCGGTTTATTTTCCCGTTCTGCTTAACCAGATTTCGTGGTCACTTTTGAATGTGTGTGACCTCAGCTTTGGAAGTGAAAGGGAAGTGGGGGGGGGTACAGCCCCTTAATTAGTCCTGCGTTCAGTAGACGGACTCATGCAGCCCCTCATTTGTTCCGGGTTCACATGGCGGTGGAGTTTCAAAGGGAATTTGAGGGGTTTTGGGGATGAAATGTGCTTTGAGGGTGTCATCTTCCATCGACAAGCTATTGAAATGGAATTTTAGCCTATTTTTGACTGATATTAACAGTGTTAATGTTCAGAAAGTGAAACTTTTTAGCTTCTGAAACACTCCTCTGGATGCTTCAGTAGATCTTTTCTGTAGCAAATTCCTGTCTGAAAGAGGGAATTCTGGCTCACCTTCGAGGCCTTTTCCTCTGGTGATTTTTTTATTTTTTTTGTTGTAAATTTCCACTTGCGGGAATTTATTTTATCCTCAAGTCCCCACCAGAGGTTGAGAATTATCAGGATTGAGATCCTTTTTTTAATCAAATTATTTAAATGAACTGATACTCAGAGGGGAAAATGCCCTTTAGAAGTAAAAAGATTTATTTTTGCTGAACTTTGAGTGATGTAGTGAAATGAGATGAAACGTGTCACAGAAGCCGTATTTTGATTTACAGACGGCGCCCCAGTTGTGTTGGGGTCCACAAGGAATCCATCTCAATTTTCTAACACAATAGCGTTATTTTATTAGAACAAATTACCTGAGCAAAAAAAAAAATCTCAAATCTCAAACATGTGTTCTTGATTGTAGGGATTCGCCTTCATAACTCCAAATATTTGCCTCTCTTTTGTGACGCAGGTGTCCTCTGTAGGCCCCTTATACCAACCTCTGCCGCAATTTGTTTGGGGATTTGTGCGCGAACGGCCGAATGAAAAGTTCAAGCAAAGTTCTAGAATGATGTAAAATCTGTAGTGTGAGAGCAATTTACCACTCGCGTAATCCAAAAATTGGTAACTGTACACAAACTGGATTAAATAAATCAACCTTCTTTAATTTAACTTGGTAAAGTCACGACAACAAGAAGGAACTACCTGATCGTGATGGGCTCCAAAGGCCTGGTGTAAAAACCAACACAGATAAATAAATAACGGTGGGACATTTTCCATTATGCCATTATTTATTCAATAAAACTGTTGAGAAGCGTGTAGAGCCACCTGTAACATCTGAAATCCTCCATCTCAAAATCCCCCTTTGTGGCTAAAAGTAAACAAGTCATCTTCACAAATAAAATCACCATCTATCTAGGACCTGGACTGGCTTTTCCATATTTGGAATCCCCTTGCGTGGATAGAGTTTAACTTAAAGTTGTGCTGGGAAATCTGCCTGAAAATGGACTTTTTCTCAGATTACAGCGAACATCAGATTTCCATATGAGGTGGGATAATTACTAAATCAATTATCCTGGCAATGACAGGATAATCTTTTTTTGTTTTTTGGAGCTAAACATGACAGAATAATTGCGTTGAATGGATCTGGTGTTAAGCGGCTGTCAGAGGGACGTTTTGGGAAAACTGAAGCTTTGGATGAGGTGATGCAGTGTGTCCCTTTATGGGACGATGCGAACCCAAAGGTCCTGAAGGGCTAAAAGAATCAACCGAACAGTGTTTAATCTACTCCTCCTCCTTTGCTCTGACAGGTGCACCTGAGCGGGGCGGGGGAGTCGTCGGCCGGCCCGGAGCCCTCCGCCTTCTGGGACCTGGCCTCCAGAGCCCGGCTCCGCAACGTTCTGCTCTACGGCCTCCGGCTTCACCAGTCCAAGGTACAGGCTCCGTTCCGGCCACATAAGAGAGACGTCTTTAGTAAGCAAGGGGGGAAAAGTCCTGCAGCCGCTGCTCTGATTGAAAGAACAGGATATCAGTTTTTTGTTTTTTTTTCTCCCTCCCCCCTTCCCCCCGTCCTCCACACGTGTGGATCTGCATTGTTTGAACTGAATGCCGGAGGGATGAAAAGGATGCGGAGGTGCTTAAGGTGTAAAAATCGACCATAAGCCGAGACGATCCGGTTGAAACGAGCGTCATGGGAACCTTCTACCTGGCCAGCCAGACTGTGCTCCGGACTCATTACGGTGGATGTGGTCGGCCTGAAATCCTGAACTGACCGCTTAGTAATTACAGGATCACACAAAGTCCAATTACTCATTTTTTTACTCGGTGCCGCCCGAGCTATCGAACCAGCCCGCCTGTTTTTTTTGGGCCAAAAAACGGCGAGACAGACGTTGAATATTCATGCCGCTGCTGGCCCTAAAATATGACATCCATCATGATTTGTGCTCATGGCCCGCTGCAACACTGTGACAAATGAGGTTTCTTGGCAGCCGCATCACTTCACAAATCAGGGGGAAAAGCCTCTGAGCCTCAGGCCAGGGGATGTCTGAGCAGGTTGGGTTTAATCTCTCATTCACAGAGGGGGTGGTGGTGGTGGGGGTGGGAGGTAAAAGTGAATGATGAGCTTTGAGGAGGCCAGGTTTTGTCGGGTCAGCGAGAGCGTGAGGTGCGCCGGGCTCCACGGCGCGGCGTAATTAAAAAGAGATGTTTTGTTTTTCTCCATAGCGAGGCGTGCAACGCGCCGCATGCGAGTCGGATCCCGCCATCGGATGTCGGACATTACGCTCTCCCTCTGAATTATTGAGACTAATGCCGTTAATTTGTCATCGACTTCCACTCCTATGAGACAACAGAGAGGGGAAAGGGAGTGAGTGGAGATAATGCATGCTTCACCATGATAAAATGCTCCGCTTTGAGAGATAGTGGAACAACAGAATACAGACTCTTAATAAATCACTGATAGCTTTTTGTTTTAATGAGGATAATTCTTCCCAGATGGCCGTATTCGTCCTTAAATCTCTTCCTCTGGCCGTTCAGTTTAGTGTTGTGTTTTTTTTTTCCTTCTTTACTTCGTTAAAACATTTAATGACCCGCTGACTCTGTAAGAATATTCGAGTGCACGCCATGTTCAAAGCTCTAAAAGCTGAGCACCAGGCCCTGCTGAAATATCTTTGACGCAGAGCTTTTTCAGTCCCCAGAAAATGATCTTTTCAGTTTGTTTTCAGGCCGGGTTTCCCCATGACAACACAGTCTGGATTCCCGCTCCTTATAAAAGTGCTCGAGCTTTCCTGTTTCTTAAATGTCAGCATGTTCCTGTAAGTTGACTCTTTAAAAGCCTGATCCAAGAAAAAGTTAAAACGATGTACCTTGTTTCTTTCTTTCTAAAATTTGCTATAACTGGTACACAATTAGATCAGCATTCGTCTCTTGATAAGAAATAAAGCAGAATTTAACTGTTAAAGTTACTTTAAATGAAGCTCACACTGTGACTTTTGTTGTGATAATCATCTTATTATAATTTTCTTTGATAGATCTGATGATTATTTTTACTATATCCTAAAAAAAGAGAATGTCACCTGAAAGTGTGATGTTAACATTCAGGAGTTGCTAATTTTTTTTTATTTTGGACATTTTTTTGCCATTTAACGTGTATGCTGTATGACTTTGTAAACAGATTTATAGCCTCAAACATATTCATTTGACACAAAGCAGATAAAGATAACTAAACTCATTAGAAGTATCAAAACTTTGTGTTTACAGAAAACTCATTTCAGGCCTGGATTTAACTGCTTTTTATGTGAATCTATATGATTAGCAGGTCATCTGAAGGAAAAATTAGTCAGTAATTGGCTTCTGGTCTCATTTGAAGATGAGGGAGATTCCAGTGTCTGAGCTTAACTGCGTGTTTATTGAATTGTAAAATTACCCCCCAAAAAAGGGTGTTAGTGCTTTTCAGGCAGGGCAAATTCACAAATTCTTTTCCAAAGAGCTCAGCCTTCCCAAAGTTCCAGGAACAAGGTCTGCAAAAGTCCTCAGAGTCTGAAAGGAGCTTTTCTAAGTATTTCTGACAATCCGAAGGCGCCCGTCATTTAGTCTAACGTTGAAGTTCAGGAGCCCGCTCCCCCGGCTTTTAAAATCAGGCACGATTCCTCTTAATTTAGTCCACTGTCAGCACAGACTAAAGATAACAGGGATCGTTAAACCTTGTCTGTATCTGGGAATGTCAGGAATTATGTGTAGCCGTTCAGAGTTAAACAGAAGAGGACAGTTGATCAGGATAAACCGAATACCTGAGTCCAAAAAAAGCTCCTCATTATTTTCTGACACTTAGCCTTTACTGCCAACAGGACCCGTCTTTTATGTGCTTCTGAAGGATTATTGGACGGGCCCAGTGGCATAGGAATTAAACCAGAGTCCGCATAATTGAATGTTTTGACAATTAAAGTCTGCGAGCGCATGTCATTTCGTCCGTCGGCGGGGGAAATGATCCACCTCATTGACTCTTACTGATGTCTGTCTGGATAAAAAGTGGATTTTTCTCAAATGAGGCCTGACCGTGGCTTCACATTTTTGAGAGACAAACACCCAGCCGCTCGTGCGAGGGTTTTTTGCGCGCGCGCCGCTTTGTTTTTTTTCGTCAAAGGGGAGAAAGTGAAATGGAGTCTCGGGCAAACGAGCGGAGGCGGCTCCCCTATTGGGAGGGCGCACGATCAAAGCCGCCCTCCGGAGCCCTTTCCCGCGTGTCGTCGCCCCTCTGAAGATGCCCGCAAGCCAAACATCAGGTGCGGCCATGTGTGAAAATCTAAAGAGGGTTTTTGAGGCCGCCCGGACACCGGATCCTCAGAAAGTGAGAGCGTGTTGTGAAAACGCTATCGGTGTCTGCGCGCTGATAGGAAGCGTCATAAGATCCCCCTCTTACACCGGGGTCCTGGCGACTTGTCATCTGCTGAAAGGGGAGTTGTCACCCTGATATATGGGTGTTGTAATCCCCGCAGTGAGAGCCCTGATGTTTACCCAGCACCATATTTCCTCCTCCTCCTCCTCCCTCAAAGGGCCCGGGACGGGGAACCCTAAACCTGAGAGGAGATTAGCCGGCCAGGGGGAAAGAAAAGAGGAGGAAAAAAGAAAAGGAGGGAAGAAAGAGAAAGGAGAGGAGTCTATAGGCCTATTCTCCCGGACCTGTTGTGATCCGGGTCTGAAAGGCGGACAGGTGAAACCGAACACGGCCCGAGGAAGATGCCGCTGTGGAGAGCGTGGAGCCGTGCCCCCACCAGGGGTCCAGGGAGATTAGGGAAGACCGTCCCCCTCTGCGGCCTCAGCACACTCCCAGCTTTTCTCGGGCTAAATCCAACTATTGTCCCCGGTTGGATAAAGGAAATATCTCCAAAGAGACTTCCAAACTCACATTGGAGAAGGTTAGGGATTCAACATCACTCAATCCAATTCAATTAAAAGTACTTTGTTAATCCCACAAGTGGGAATTCTTGTGATGCAACAGGAACAACACAATAAATCAACTTCATAAACAACAAAAATAACAGTAATGATGATAAAAATGATGAAAAAAATTAATATTAGAGGTGGAGGGCCTTACTCATCACCACATCCCCAGACGGTTTGACTTGTAAAGTCATTTTAAGTTAGCAAGTGGTGCAATAATATTCAGTTTTCAATGCCTTAGATGGCGTCTGTTCCTCTCCTGACCCTCTTCCAGAGGAACCAGACACCTCTGGAGGGTTTTCTAAATGATGAACGGTGGGGAAAAATAACTTGCGCGGAGGTTTTCTGTCCGTCAGGGTAATCCTGCTTAAGAGCAACAAGCCAGACAGGTGAAACCCAACACAGGCAACACTGTGACACTCATGTGTTTCCATGCAGGTGGAGTCAGCGCAGATTACAGATGAGTGCTGTCACGGCGCACTCCCAAAGCCTTCTCCCTCAATCCAACAATTATCCTCAGACGAACAGCTAACCGGTTTTAAATTTGCTCTGATGAATGAGCGCTAGTTCGCTCATCGTCTCTAAAAAGGGGGAAACCACTAACGGCCATTAGTCTTTTCGCCCGACGGAGGTAAATTGAGAGCAGGGGAAATACGTCGGACTGAGCAAACACTCAACGAGTTCATCGAAACGGGGAGGAAAAAATGGCTCAGAAGGGGAAATGACACCACCTCTCCAAGTTTTGGGGGTTTCTATGGTAGCATCTATGTCTACGAACCTTCAACATGGGAGCAAAAGTTTAGCGTCCGGCCTGCCTCTTCACAAATTCACCCCCCCACCCTGATTCGAAGTTGTTTGGCTGACGTCTTCTTTGTTCTGACAATTTTATCTGCGGAAAAGCGCCGGGCTCCCCTGGTGGAAGCCTCCCAGCTGCACAGGGGTCGGCAGAAGCCCGGGGATGGCTCCTCCGCTTAGCGGCGTATTTCCAGAGTTATGTCTGGAGCCCTGGGACCGACTCGCTCTGCCTTGACATGTGCAGGATATCAAGCTCGATCTGCCATGTTGAGAAAAGCTCCAGATGTGCGTTGGTATGTGCGAAACTTGACCGCTGGAGTTTGGCTCCAGGATTTCGACATACCAGAGCGGTGTTTACTCAGCTTTGATTTGGCAGATTAAAAGGAACCGGCAGGCACCCCCCGTTTCGGGCTGGTGTGACTCGACTCGGGCCCAGGGCGGACCAGTGGAAGATGCCGTTTCAAGATGGGATTTTTATTTCAAACAGGCGCTTCGTGCCGGAGGGAGGTTGACGCAGTCTGGATCTTTGCGGTTAGTTTGTAAACAGTTAATCACACAGATCGCGGGCAAACATTCATGTGAGTTCATCTTGCCACTTGCTTTCGAGACGTTTTCTGACCACCCACAAACTCCTCTGGGTTCCAGTTTCCCTCCAGTTGCGGCGCAGCTCGGAGTGAGCGGGCCTCACCGGTGATTGTTT